GAAGTTGTTAATTGGAAGCTATCTACAGAAGTTTATAGAAATAATGTACCCTTTTTCAACACTCGTCACTATAGATACTCTGTTACACAGGAATAGAAAACACTTCGAGACTACCAATAAAACAAGGAAAACGGTTCAATTTAGAATTTGAGGTAATTCCTTAAAATTGGACTGGTCCCTGAACAAACGAATTAGTGTCAATCATTGAATAAGGAACTCTTTCCCAATAATGGCCTCTATAAGGATATTTAACAAATACAGTGTCTTTCCCAAAGGGTGCATTAAGCTTTACAATCTAGGATGGAAATTATATTCTCCGAAACTATCAAGTGAACTCCAAATGGTTGTCTTTGGCGCTCTTCTTGAGTCCAATCTTTGGTGGTTTTTATATCGGTTGATTTTGGTTGTATGTCTTTCAGTAGTTTTTATATACTATGATGTATTCCGTTCCACTACGTTTTACTACGTAAACTATGCTTTATTACTTTTTACTACGCTTCACTGAGCTTGGTTAATTTTTATATTTGTGTTCGACTTTGAGGTTTTAGTTTTTGCCTGGCAGAACTAATATAAAAAACTATTGTCAAAAAAATACAATTGATTCTAAGGTTAGTTACAATTCACAATTTCAAAATATGATTCAATATCATCCCTATTCAATTTCGTTTCTATAAATACTTTGACAGTTGGATTTCACTTGGATGGATGACTATCAGGAATCAATAATAATTTTTCTCGCCACTAGTTGTTGTTTCTTTAAAAGACAAGCAAAGAAAAGACCGTTTGAAAACTTCATTTTNACTAGTTGTTGTTTCTTTAAAAGACAAGTACAGAAAAGACCGTTTGAAAACTTCATTCTTCATACACAGAATCGGTATCGGTTCAAAGTTCAATGTATCCTCTCACTTAACAAAATAGACATATAAACAAATTCTACCGATTCTAAGAATGACATAAAAATAGATATCTCTTTTTGTGCCTCACTTCTAATTTGGCTTCACAATACACTGTAAATATGAATTCCATGACTGAACAACATTACTCTTTGAAAATAAATTCTATACCTGAACAAAAAAAGAATATTACGTGACGTCTAGTTGCATACCTAACCGGGATGCGGATAAAATCTTCCAAACAAACAATATGGCTTTTGAACAGACGTCAACATTCTTATTTCTTTTTATTTGAGAGAGGTACTGAAAACTGCTCAGAAGAATCCCAGATCTGTGAAAATATGAAATAGGAATTCAAATATTTGGTATGTTACAATCCACAAATTGAAATCGGAAAAATTGAAGGTTTCTTTGTGTTCAGATTGTGTCGCAAATAATATAAAATGACAAGTGGAAAAACGGAACGTTACAATCCAACCGGCTAGTATTCTCTGCACTCTTTCTATATTGATGGAGAAGAATTGCCATACTAGAAATTATGACAGGATTTTTTTTTCACGAATATAACTTCTAGTATTTTGGAGCGTGGCATATTGAGGGAAAACATTCACTGAGATAGTTCAGCTCATTTGTTGCGCAATCTGTAATCTGAATTTAGCGACCGCATTTCGGAAGAAGCTGTATAACACATCAGTCTAACATCAATCCCCCTAACTCCTATTGACAATCATTTGATTATCATGTCTTTTTATGCTTTATGAAGTGGAGCCTCAATTCGAGTATATCATCTAATGAAATACAAAAATCTGCATGCAAAAATTGTCACGCCACTGTTTGTGGCTGAACTATTTAGTATTTTCCACGCGGTACATTATGCAATGACAGATTCTAATTATCGTAATTTAGGCACAGATATTAATGGGTGCTTTAGATCTTCGTCTCATAAATAAAAATGATGAAAGGACAAAATCCCACATGTGATAAATATAGTGGACTCCCGTGCTGTTGATTTTCGTGAATGGATTTTATTTGAAAGCTATTTAAAGGATCACATATTCGAATTTGTGCTGAGAAATATTTGCTTCAAAGAATACTTGAAAACGATGAAATTTTTGAAGGCTATAGGCAGCGTATACCGAGCTTTACAGCTAGACCTGTTTTATCGATTGAAATGAACATTTGTGCTAATATTTCATGTAAATCCAAAAATAAATTTCGATTTTGAAACTTAGTTTCTGGGTTTATTTTATCGTTCCTTTTCTCTAGAAATGATCTGATAACATAGTTCTCATACACTAATTCCAATGAATTCAAAATATGTGCCATCCCAACATTGTAAAAACGTTTCTTTCAGCAAATGCTTTCGCTTATAATAATTCAAAATGAAATCTTCCGAGCTATAGTCTTGAAATTTTATCGACTACTAAAACCTCAAGTTCTTTACTTAGCAAAATTTGGATAATTATGTATTTGCACATATTCAATCCGACTAAACTTGATGCAATCCGGTTGTAACCTTCAAGAAAATTCAACACATTTTTGACTCCAAAAGTTATTCGATCCATTCGTTTATAACAAATAGATTTCTTTAGGTGAGGAGAGAACATTTCTAATGGAAAATAAATGAATATTCGATTGAAACAACAATCGATTTTAGACGATTAGTTCCTATGAGCCATTTGAACGAATTTTACTTTTAATAACGTTTTCCACTGGCAAAACTAGTGTCTATTTTGTGTATCTCTGGCTTTCATTTGTTGATACATTTATGAAGAACATTGAGTGTTCACTGGTTTCACCAATGTAAAATACGGTAAGTTTGGTAATACGTTCTCTACTGGTTCTATGATAGCTGACACTCATGACAAGGAACAGAAAAAGCTGAAAATGAAAGTTCCATATGTAATTTTATGAATAATAATCTAACAAAACCTCAGATAACACTATACTACCAAATGTGTTGGCTTTAGAAGAATCTTATTAGTTTTCTTTTTCAAATACTCCCAAAAACTACAGTACAACAGAAAAGCATTGCAAGTCGTTTAGGACTGCGATATCACAGTATTTACTCAAATTCTTGGAGTCTTTTTCACACGCTTTATATTAGCTTAACCTGTATGCATGTTTGTTTGTAACTCTCTTTTTCATTTCATATCGGGTTCTGTATTTGACAGAATTATCGACATTATTGCTTGATCTATTCGCGGGCAGATGGCGCAGTACGTAACCTTCTTGATATAATTCGAACTCACTTTACATATATTTCTTCATTTAAAAACAGTATTTTTATTCATTAACACGCGCGTCTGCTGCCTTATTTGTAACCCTTCTTCGCGCGCCTGCTGCCTTGGGCTTGGTAGCTGATTTTCAGGCTCCCTCCTCGATTTTTCTACCCTGATTCAAAAACAAGAACCATTGCCAATAACTGGATTCACGAAATTGCAAGTGAATACTCACTCCTGAAAGGTCCGAATTTGTGGTAGGTTATTCTTATGGATCTACGTCGCATGTATTCTAGTCCATCCCTGGCCTCCATGAATACTGGACATCACATTCTGTTGATTCATGTATTTTCTTCTTTCATGATGGATTTTTTGGAACGCTTATGCATATCACTAGCATCTCCATGAAGTAATGGGAATCATGCGTTGAATCAGACGAAACAGCAGTTTTCTCGTATCTTATTACGCAGTCTACTTGTGCCAATGCACACAGCGACAGCTACGATTGTGTTTCTGAACCACAAGACTAGTAAATCATGGAAACACCGTTGGATATCGAAAGATTTCTTTTGTACTTGACCGATCTAATTGTTGTTGCGTAGTCAATAAGTTGGCTTGGGGATGTTCTTAATGTTGTGCAATTTGAATAGTTTTCCAATGTGATGTAGACTGGGTCAACCCCTGGCGGCTGGCTCGTGATCAATGTTGGAGTATTTCTCTGTAAACCTTCGTAGTAAGCGTACCAACTTGGACTAGAGGTTTGATGAAGTAAGTACATCTCTTTTCATTTTCAGACGAAGGTTATAATCTGCCGCTGTACTTGCAATCATTGATGGTTTTGTTGTCTATAATTCTGATTTCCAAAGGAAGAATTCGCCCGATCTTGAAACTGGTTTTGGATCTATTGGGACTGATTTTGTGCCTCACTCTGTTGAGCACTGTACTAGACAGGTGGGTTATGCTGGAAAGCGTTGAAGTTTGACAACGATCTAGGCTCACTGTTTCTAGACTGCTCAATCGCAAGAGTTATCATTATAGCACGATTTTTCCTAGGTGGTAATTTGAGTTCTTAATGAGATTGATGTGGGGAAGTTTGCAATAAACTGCGTGACCCAGTTATCTGTGAATTTCACTGTTGACCAGAACATCCAGAAATAATATCTTGTTTCGTTTTCTTTTCTTACGGTAAACTGCATACGCCGGCGAATGAAGCTGATGTGAGGTTCCTATGTTTTTATACCACTCGTATTTGTAACTGAAGTTAATGCAGTTTCGTCCTATAAGGACATTTTCTAACGAATACAAAGATCTCATTTTTCTTGATGATCTTCTACCACTGTTCTTATACTCGTTTCCTATGGTTCCATATAACAAAGGTATCATCATGTAGCGAAACCAATAGATAGGTACCTATCAATGGAGCTACGCTGAGCGCTTTCATCTCGCGAACTTGCAACCACAGGGCTGCAAATTCTTACTGCTCTGGTATGGTAAAATTGACGCATTTTGAAAGTATCATAAAAATGTTGAATTCAGTATATAGGAGATCTCGAATAGCGTTTCGTAAATGGGCTTGAAAATCCAAATATATTAACGGAGATACAAAAAAACTCGAATGAATTTTGAATTTTAACTAACACATGCTGGAATATATAATCGAAACCTTTTGGTAGAAGAAATGATGATACAGTGTATCCAACAATCATATATTCGCAGACCTAGATGGCTACCATGATGTATCCAAATATAATTATGGGGAAGACTTGATTGCTATATTTGCGGTTTGTTCCAATGTTTCAACCTATTTCGAGCAATTATTATCTACTCGGTAATTTTGACAGTGATTCAGTGAAATTTGTTAAGAACTATCAAGAAAACGAATTGGTATAAGAAGGAATACATTTCTGATTTACCTGTACAAAGTTTTTTAAATAATCCTAAGATAATATATCTATATATTACTACTCCAACTTTTCATCCTATTTTATTGGAATATGTCAATCATTTGTCTATGGGGGGGCAAAAACTGGTACCTACGGTAGTTGTCGGCGAAGACTACCAGTGGAATGGATGTTCAACTCAAGCACTATAAACACTTTGACTTTAGCGGTCCATCATTTGGTTGTATGTCTAGCCCAGTTTGTCCGTTGTACTTGAGACATAAGTTCGCTTCGATTTGGCACTTTTTCACTAGTAGTTCTAGTAATCCCAGGTCCGTTCATAGGCTTCAGGGTGTCAGTTAATCTCAAATTCGTAAAAATGTCACTAACGTCTTCTGTGGAATCCGAAGGAACAGGCACTATCACTCTAACTCTACCTTCTGAATCCGTCGTAGTAAGCGTACCAACTTGGGCTAGAGGTTTGATGAAGTTAGTACCTTTCTGTTCATTTTTAGAGGGAGGATGAGAAAGTGGTGAGGATTCTCTCGTCTGCCGCTGCACTTGCAATCGTTGGTGGTTTTGTTGTCCATAATTCTGAATTTTAGAGTCCGAATTCATCCGATCTTGTAACTGGTATTGTATATGCTGGGACTGATTCTGTGCAGATGCCTCATTCTGGTTGGCATTATACTGGACAGGTGGGCTATGTTGGAAAGCGTTGAAGTTTGATAACTGTCTAGGCTCACTGTTTCTAGATGTGCTCAATCGCTTCTCCGCCTCTGTACTCCCGCAAAAAGAATTTCGCATCAACAAAGGCGATGGCGGAATTTTCTTTTGCGGAGGCGGTTGTAAAGTGTAATTATTGTTCAAGAGCGGTTGGTTATATACATTCGGTGATAAAAACGGCAGCGATTGTGAGTAGAGATACTGATAAGGGGATGGCGGGTAGCCGCTTGAAGCTTGTAATCTTTGCAACAATTGAGATTCAAACGAGGTAATTTCGGGATATGTAAAATTGAACATGCTTCCACCCGGGTTGAATGTACTTCTGAGAGGTGAGGGTGGCAGACATGATGAGGCTCCTCTGTTTTCGATTAGTCCCTGTGAGTGCATTCCGTAAGATTGAGATGCAGAGGTGTTATTTGTATATACTGGTTCAGATATATCGGAGAGGTAGTTTTCGCCCACTGCTTGATGAGACTGCTGTTGAAAAAAAACAATATATATTTAGAAGTTTCAATATTTAAAAAAAAATGTTTTGTTCATTCGTCGAAGTTTATGACTTTTGAATCCAATGAGGTTTAAAAACGAGTCACAGGACCAATGCTTTCATTTTCAGAGTAGACTACTGTGATATAGATATTTTTGTTGGAATGAGAAGAAAAAAGTTTCATTGTATAATCAATGAACAAGAAAAAACGATTTTAAGTAGATAGAGCTTTTATGGTGGTCGTCTGCTTGATTGTCTTCATCAAGATATTGTGTGGTGCATTACCCATTGCTTAGTTCTCAATTGTTCACTATGGAAAATCTTTGAAACGTCCCTGCCTGGCATTGGAGTTATGACCATTTATTCTTCAATATAAAAACATACCTAATAATTATCATCAAATCAAGATGATATAATCAAAATAATCCAAATGCAATTCACCAAATCAAAGAACATGTGGTATTATTATGATTGCATCTATTATTCATAACTCTCATATTTTTTGCAGTAAAAAACAATTACGTAACTCGAATTGATGAGTTTGCATTTTTTGTTTTGCGAGTCATAATCATCTGCTGATCTAACTGAACAATGAAACTTCAATTCATGATAATCAAGACACAAATGAAGTGAGGCTCTCGTAATTATAATTAATTTTATGGTATGTCCAAACAATGACATGAAAAAAAATCAGATTTCTCTCATCGAAGGATATCGAAATATAATGGTATGTTATACGATTTTTAAAAACTTTCGAGTAATTTTTCATTTTTCCAAATTTTACCACTAGATTTTTTTTTGTAATCCACACCAAACAGTGGTAGGTTGTCCGAACAGAACATTCAAATTGATAGAACAATTTTATTATTTGCTTGTGTTGTTGAATGGTGATTTGGCAAAAAATTGACTGAATAAATGACAACTGATTTGAGGGATGTAGCTTTAACAAGTTAGCAGTTATCAATTGTCAAAGTACCTGTTGGAAGACCCAATAGAAAAAGGAGTCTTGTGATACCTTTCTCAATATTTTTCCAAAAGTAAAATACTGTTTTACTTTCGGAAACCGATTCAGTTATTCCTAAAGAATTAGCAGTTTACAGGTCGTTTCATTTATCATGTAACATTGTTATATTCAAAACCGTAACAGATACGAAGACGATTAAATGGGAAAAAAGGTAACTTTCATGGGGAAAAATAAAATGGGCAAACAAAATTTACAGACACTCTCGCCCTTTTCGGGTTATACGGGGAAAACCAAAAATGCTGTTTTTTGAATGGAATTTTTATTTCGGAGTATATCAAAATATAGAAACAGAAAATGTTATTGATTTCGAAATATAGGTACTATGATGATGTAATGATGAATATTCGGTGAAACGTTTCGTGTCAACATGACCACCATAAACTATTTTAAAATACGGACCTGTCTTTTTTATTACAGATATTGATAAAGCAATATATTCACAATTTATGAATATCACATTTGATATTTTTATAGCGTTTCATTTGAAATAACCACCATCAACAGTGACAACAATTTTAAATTATGGTCCTGTCGTTACTTCTTTTGGGAATTGTTTCGATTTCTTCAAAATATAATTCAGACAACCCAATAAATTCAACAGGTAGGTACTTTAACACAATGAAAATTCGTACTTTTACGTTTTGGATATTTTTGTATTGCCATAATCCTTCTTTCAAGGCTTATTTATCCCTAATCAATTATAATTCGTAATATTTTTATAATTCTCAATCCTGGAAGTTACGAAAATATAAGTTTTTGGTCAAAATTCGATTGTTGTATAATTTGGTATGATCATATAGCATCTCAATTCATTTGCCATCTTGAATGCGTAGGTTTTGCTTGATTTCTATGGCAGGAAAAATGAATGCGGTGTTGATATCTGTTGAGAACTGTCAGACGTTTATGAACATATCAAAGATGTATTCAAATGACGAAAGGACTGATATGCTATTCAGTTATGAAAAATCAAATAGAATTCCTTTTTTGTCGAATAATATGCATGTTGAGCTATACCCGAATCGTCGTATTCCGAACATCCAAATGTTTAAACGATTAGAAAGAAATTTGAGAAACTATGGTGCATTCGACAAAAGGCAAACAAAAAAATGTGTGGAAAATGTTACTGGAAGTGTGAGGAATCAAATAAACTTAATGGGAACGCAAATATTACCACATAAAAATTTACACAGGGAAAACACTTTTTTTTAATTTAGGATTGGCCAGTTACAGAAATTATGCTAATCAAGATTGTTCTTTACGAAAAGTTGCCCACAAAATGGTGATTTCTGTAAAATCCACCAGAACTATTTTGAAAAAGAACAAATATAAATGCTACAGGATACGCTACAGTTCATCACCTCAATGAAAGAGATTACAGAAGGAGAGCACGATTTCTGAAATGGTTAAGACGTAGAAATAGGGAAGTTGGAAATATTTGTAAAAAGATAAAAGAGACGGGCGAATCAAAATTCACCGACAATGGTTGGTTTAACAGAAATATCCATTATAGGTGGAATAATACAAATGAACATTTACATAGGGAAACCAATTTCCAAGAAAGGTTCAGAATAAATGTTTGGTTTGGAATTGTGGGAACAAACATCCTTGGCCCTTTCTTTTACGATGATCATCTGAATACGGGTATTTATTTCAGGTTTTTGAAAATTGCACAATTTCTTGGAATTCAAAAAGGCAAACTTCTGTTACCGCTTCTGCAACTGAGGCCGAATATATGGCTCTCTTCGAATGTGTGAGAGAGGCAATTTGGCTCAGGAGTTTATTAGATAGTCTCAGTTTGAATATTTCAAAACCAATTCCAATATTTGAAGATAATAACAGTTGTATTAGCATCGCTAACAATCCTACAAACCACAAAAGGACCAAGCACATTGATATTAAGTATCATTTTACACAGGAACAGATAATACAAAACAAGATATCAGTTCAATATATTCCTACAGGTGAACAACTGGCTGATGCATTTACAAAACCATTACCAGCAGTCAAATTCATCAATATAAGGAATAGTATTGGGCTAAAATGAAGTAATCGATTAGTTACCTGTCGAAGAATACTATATTCATCTACCTGTCATTATTAACAGATTGTAACATTATTTAGTTGAAATTAAACATGCATATGTGCTCAATAATCTTTCAGGATTTTATTCTTTCTTGATCTCATTTTTGAGTGGGAGTGTTAAAATATGTATCTAAACAGATGATGTACAAAAACGAATCTACGTTCCCAGAAAGCTGACCTGATAAGTGTCAAGGGAAACGAATAAAACTGAAGGGTCTTACTTATTTATGACCATGTTTATTTAGGATAATGATTGTGCATTCCTACGTGCACTGTAATCTTATATTAATGGATTTTAACAATGCCCTCGAATAGGTCTGGGGTGTGAAGAAATAAATATGATAAGAATATAACTAGTCAGTCGTTCTTATGTGTCTAAAGTAGAAGCAATGAAATATACTCTAGTGTTCTCCTATTAATTGTGTTTTATTCAACCACTGATGAACCTTGTAATAATTTAATACTTAAATGACATTTTTGAGTCAAAAACGACACCTAAATCTTTTATTTTATCCGTTACTGCTAAATCATTCCCATTGATTTTATACGAGTAATCATATACATTATTGATCCTTGAGAAAGTAATTTTTGACACTTATCTGGATTCAAATGCAAAAGGTTGACGTCACACCAGCTAGAAAACTGTACCAAATCACATTGAAGTGCCTGAGCATCTGATATATTTTGTATTGATTTGAACACCTTTAAATCATCTGCAAACATTAGAAATGAGCTGGAGGTAAAAACAGTGGAGACATCATTGATGAATAAATTGAACAGTAATGGGCCTATGTGGGATCCCTGAGGAACACCTGATGGCACATTTATCGGTTCAGATATAGAGTTGCCATATTTAACGTATCGAACTCTATTGTAAAGATAGCTTTCAATCCAATTTAAAACATCTCCCTCTAAACCCAAAGCATTCAACTTAGCAATCAGTAGGTTATGGTTGACTCTATCAAAGGCTTTAGAAAAATCTGTGTAGCCTATTTTCAAGATTATTTATGATGTAGTTTTCATAAAGTAATAAGTGCGTAGAAGTTGATTTCCATTTGGTAAAACCATGTTGTTGATTGATTATGATCGTTTCTGAAATTGAATGAAAGTTTTCTAGTGATTAGACAGTCCAGCATTTTGGGCAACTCTGACTTCTTTAGTGAAAGCTGGAATATTAGTTTCGCCCCCAGAATACCTAAACTTTCAGAAATCAAAAATCCTCTATCAGCTAAAATAATATCACCAGGTTTAATATGACTGCAAAAATCACTCAACTCCACCATTTGTCTGTCTGAAGTTCGTCCGCCCCAAGCCTCACTTAAATAACTAATAGTTCCTTGAGGGGTAATGCCAATTAAAAATTTTACTGTAGTATGATGTTTATAATTTGAGCAGCACTGTTGCTGAGTAAGATACATTAGGTTTCTCTAGAAAAATTTCAAAACAGTCAACAATAATAGTGGTCTTACGGTTTACTGAACGGGTAGGCCAAATTATTAATGATTTTAGTCTTTGATACAGAATATGTATAATACTGTAAAATTATGTTGATGCTGTTGTTGGAGCAATTCCAAAACGGTAAGCTAAATCGTGAAACTGTTGGTTCAGTCGCAACTTTACAAGAGTAAGTAACAATCGATTGAAAGGGCTGAGAAACGTTGTTGATGTAGTGGGAATAAATGGTTTCACTTCCACAAATATGATTTGGTTGACAATGTCATACTCAAATCCTGTGTAATAGGTCCATTTTACAGTATCACTAATTAGTCCAAGTTCAATCTTGCACTTCAAATTTTCAATTTTTTCAGAGGCAAACTGCAACTGTTCGAATTTTATATCAAATGCTTCCATTGTTAAATCTGTTTGCGAGGCTAAACCATCGCAACCATAGGTGGGGTCCTCATCATTTGGCTCCTTCTCCATAACAGGATTTGCAGAGTCGTGTTTGTGTATCTGGAAAAAGTTTGGGTTTCAAAATTTGATATCACAACATTTTTACCATCATTAATGTTTTTAATTAATATCTTACCAGTTTTTGTCTTTTATCGACTTTCTGTCCATGTCATGTTTCCTTTTGGTAAAGGCTTGAGAGATATGGCCTATGTTTTGGGAGGGAACCCAATCGGGGTTATCCTTATCATCTAAAGCACTTGGTTTTCCTGAACAATAATACATACTAATCTTATTTGCCTGAATAATACATTGCTCGATGTACTTCATATTTGCTATATATCATTTTGCCACCTAATACAGTGAGGCTACTCCATTTAAAAGGACGAGAGTAAAAAATACCTTGTATGAAATGTCTGCTACAAACCCTCTGATTTCTTAGAATTAGATCTTGCCTTTTTATGGCAGCTAACCACATTTCTCGTCGCTTTCTTGACAACTCATTTATATGAGGATAGTGCGGAGAATTCGTGATATTGGGGACACTGTAAAAACTCACTTGGTCTCGCATTCCACGACTTCCACAACCCACTACAATGCAAGTTATAGGCATTACATTGAAAATACCTTGTAAACACTAATATAATTATTACTGCTGCGAAAAATCACTATACTCCACAAATTCTGGCACTGATTAAAATAATAAATTAAATATATATCATAAATGTTTAAACGTAAACAATCCATGTATGCCCTTCAAGCGCCATTTTGGATTTATTTGACACATCGCTGGAATGCCTAATAAAAATGTTAAAAAATGTATGGGCTGCTTTTTGGTTACATATCTCTGTATTTTACGTTTTTAAGGTTAATGCCATGGTTGGTACGACTGATGCAGTCAATATTCCTAAAGTAATTCAAATGTTTTTTACCTTCATTCTTTAGATCGTAAATTGGTTTTTGGTGGTGTATTACGAATTTGAAATAGTAGGCGACGGCAAATACCAACCGCTTTTTTCTGAAATGTCACTAGTAACTAACCAGGAAATAGAAGAATGTCACCAGGAGAAGCGTTCGTTTTTAAATTAAGTTTTTTATAAGGAAAATGTTGAGGAATAAGGTGTAAAGGTAACCTAGTAGATAAATGCTTGTGTTTTCAAATAGTTTATTTTGTGAAAAAGAAGGCTGAAAAGTTGCTATTTTCTGAGCTTCGAAGGGCCGTAACTTTGTAAATAAGGGAGAGTGCCACTTTTCCATTTCGGATTCGTAATCTACGCATCAAAATACGTAAGTACACATAAACATTTTTTCAATATCGCCGGGTGCCCTTAAAACGAAAATGTACCTATTTAACTTTTCTGGACTTGATACGCCATGAGTTACTTTTACAGTTATTGTAAACACAATAGTAAACCATTTTCTGGAATAGTTTTAAAATATACACTCCATCAAGACACAAACTATGATTTTGAATGAACACTAGCAGATATCTGATCTATTATTATCATCACATTTTATATTATTCTTTCATTGAATCCATTCAAAAGGAAGGTATGGTAAATAATATGTAATCAACTTTTTCTATCAGAACGATCCTACTGAATAAAATAAGTAAATACTTAACAATAACAATAAGTAAATACGACAATAAAATTTCATATGGTATATGACATGTGACGTTAAAATGACAGGATTATCACTATTACAACGTACAAACTTAAAATTCCCTAGGATTTTTTATTTTTGTCCATATCAACTTTAATACTTCGATTCATATATCCGGGAACATTCAGAAATCTATAAAATTGAAAATTCTATCTGTACCGACTTTGAATTATTCCAAAAAAGGCCTAGAAAATGTCAGTCGATTTAGACCCGAGAATTGAGTAGTGGCAACATTGAATAGGGGTACGGAATCGTCCATTGGAATACACTGTTCATGAAATAGGTGTTGCCAACATTTTTCAACTCAATAAAGCCAAGAGTTTCGACTGTAGAATGTATCACTGCTCTAATTTTGTTGTTGGTACCTGTTGACGATACGTTCGCCACTGCTGTTTTCTTCCGAATTGAGGATGCGATGATTCTCCCCATCATTGGAACTGCGAGATGAGGAATTTGATGTTAAACTGTTTGAAACTGAATTGGATAGATTGATAGTGAATTTTTCGAGTTTGTGAGATGATGATTATTCTAGAAATTGTTCAAATTTCTCCGCATCTTCTGAGCAAAATGGAGCATATGGTCAATTTGCTTAATCCATTTTGGGTGAATCACAGGAAATTTCAATTTAATTTGTGGGTTCAGGAATATTTTATCTGATCTTTTTGAGTAGACTGAAGAGTACCCAACACTAATGTGACATAACCCCTTTGAATGCCAATACTGATTCTATTTATAATGAATAGGCCCGGTTGTCAACGGTAGAGTTCGTTATTCTTCTATCAATTTCTTTCAACGATTCAAAAGCATGAGATCAAAAAACACTGAAGGTTTCAATTGCAACAGGAAAGAAACAGTAGGAACTTCGCGAAGTGAAGTATTTCCGAAATTTTGATTTTTCTGCAATCATAGCAGCTGAACCATTGGAATTAGACATCGCGGCAAGGTGTGAAACTGCAACTGTGTCTACGCAAGTGAAGTTTCAAACCAGAGATTTTCCAAATTTCCAAGGAATTAAACTCATCCTTTCTGGACACTTCCCAACCTTTGCAGTGGCTAGAGCTCTTTTTATAAGATCATTAATGGAATTATGTCTAGAAAATCTGCCAGTACTTAATTCACAACTCAGGCCATGGTAACCATTTTCTTCTACAGTGGATCCACTTCTACACTTATGACTAATACAAATTGGAAATTCTAAAAGATGCATCATCTAAGAGGGTAGCCATAGAAGCCACAGAAAGAGCATTCAACCAGAAACTAGATTCTTTGGATATAACAGCTTTGAGTCCAGCCACGTTCAGCCGACTTAAGAAGTTGATTATGAACCAAATTGATCATTGGATAATCCCAGGCTTTCCGACTTTTTTTATTATCAGGAAGGGTATTTTTCGCTTAAGATAATCAGTCATTTTCACCATCCAGGAATGTGCATCAGATATTTCAGACAGTGATTTGGAATTTCAAGTGAATTTTTCGACTACTGTTTGTCAGCACATCATTATCTTCAGAAAAGAGATCATAACACATTCTTATTGACATAATAATTGTTTCTCTGACGCTAGTCGTTCCTATTTAAATCAAGTAATATCACAAATGTCAACTTGTCATTCAAATAGAGTCAAGTATTCGTCAATTACATCTCGCTCCATTGATTCTGTAATCACGTGGTGTCAAATTTGTATATGCTCGTTCGGCTCCAGATTTTTCAAACCGAAACACCTTGTGAATAGTGATATTTTACATAATGTGCACTGTCAACTGTCAAAGTTCCAAAATTGACAGGTGTGGTGTATTCAGGTGTATACGTTTAACGGTTTTTGTTTTGAATTTTTGCAGAAGTGACTGGATAAATTGTGAATATTGGTATATATTCCTATTTTTGTGAAAATGCTTCCTGGTGAGAGCGATGGTCGTAATATTTCGATCAATTCATCTGGGTCTTCCACAAAAAGTGAACCTGTTCAAAACTGTAGGAGAAATTTGCAAAATAATTTTGAAGATGTAAACCCAACAAGGAGCACACCCGCTGATAGGTCAGTTTTATCAACCTTGTCTTTGAATGATAACACAAGAAAAGTGTTGAGAAACGGGGCCGAGAGGCTCTCAAAAACTTTCAATACATTTCGTACAGCTATAGGCACTATGACTCAGGTACCAGTATTGTCTATTAGGTTAGCAAATTAGTTAAAAATTGATGCTTGATTTTCAGAGGTTCAAAATATCAACCAAAAGAAGACAAATTCTCGAAGAAGGCCCTGTGACTCCTAATTGCACTACTCCTTATTCGAAGCAAGTTTTAGGCAGAACACCTACAAAGCTGTATAGTCCATTCAGTATTGAGAGTCCTTACAATCCCACCACTTACGATAAAAAAAACATTCCTTGATTTTATTTTATAAATTATCAGAATCAGTATTTTTTCATTTAGCAATTCTTTGGTGAAGAAACATATCCGATCTTAGAGTATTGCATACAATTTTCCAGCACTTGTCTAGCTAGTAGCTTTAGCCTGTTATGTAGTTTGTTACTTTAATATTTTTTTCATACAAATTCATAATTCAAATGCTCTTTTGTCTTCTCAATATCCCATGAACTATATTTTTGATTACTTCAATATAAAGTTGTGCAGGAAGCTGTCAAAACAATAAAATTGAGATAATGAAAATAATGAAAATCTAATGAGGCAATAGTAAAAGAACAGACCTGAGAATTATTAAAAATTTTTGCTAGTGTATAGTAACTTTGTAACAGATATGCTTTCAGTATTTATTTGAAGTCGTACAGTTGCTTTGAATCCCTCACATATTCAGGAAGGTAATTGTGAATTTTTGGACCAGAATAAGTTACTTTTAATTTTGCAATTTTCACATATGGAACTGGTTTTTGATTCTTGTATCGAGGTGGTGAAAACTCTTATCTAATGAAAACTTTGACTTATTTTCATGTGAAATTTGACTCATTTTCATGTAAAATATAAAAAATGACTTATTGAATGTTGAAATTTAATTGTTCATCCAGTAGTAATTAATAAACTATAATTCGTTGATACGAATTATAGTTTAATGACTTAACTATCTGAATTGAAATTTATATCAGAAACAGCATCCATAAGACTTACAAATTCTCTCTAATCACTTTCAACATGCTTCTCTGCATATTCAAAATATCTTTTTAGAATTAATTATAGTCAAATAACTATTGAGATAACCAATAAGTTAATGTATGCTTTATGAAGACAATTATATTTTAATGAAAATATCTTTTCAATATTATTCTTCACCAACGGAATGCTACTCAAAATGAATGACATTTCATTTGTAAATACTCACTGTACTGTTTGTTATCAGTATTATTTTTGCATTCGACTACTGTATACAATTTTCTAACTGCTCAAATTATATTTAAAGATTGTATTGATGAGAATTTTATTTTTCGTTTTATTTCTTACATTTCTTAAACGTTTGGAGTCTTGGGAAATAATCTTAGTGGGGCCATTTATGTTTTTACTGTTGTAACACAAAATGTATTGTAATGTGTGTTAAATCAGCACATCTGATGAAGTGGTTAAGGATTAAACTACTATCAGATCTGCTGGCTCAAATTGATTGAAGGACATTGTGCTGTTTTTTCTTTTCGATAAATATAATCAGATGTGATGGAGTCGCCGATACTGGTAAAAATCCATAACATATTCAAAAAACACTTTATTGTGAGATTTTCACTCAACAGTTCTACAAAAAAGCAACATATGTTTCGCTATACAATAGCTTCTTCAGGTGTGCCTTTCTTACTAAGCGCCTGAAAAAGCTATTGTATAGCGAAACACGTGTTATGTAACACATGTTTCAGGCGTTTTTTTACTATTATACATTTGTGATCTGTCATAAACTGTTGAATTTGTTACTGAATAAATAAAAGGATTGACGAAATCTCCTGAAAGAATTTTCTAGGGTGGAGATGGTATATAGAGGGTGGTAAGAGTATTGAAAATTCTCCTTATGCTTTTGATCACTTATTTTTCCAAACATTATACCGTATCTAGCTCCTGCTGCCCACTAAACGAGTTAATATAATTGTCCTACTTTTTTTCTTTCATAGAATTTTTTTTCATTTATTCATTAAATACAGTTGTCAAATTTCTACATTGAACGTGTTTTCGTTACTTCTTTCAAATCTCCCAGTTAGTTATGAGTCCATTTATGGGTTATAAGTTGGGTTTTCCGCTCAATTACTCCTTCAATAAGGAAAATATAAGCCCTTGAAAATGTGTTTTAATCTTTCGTATAGCTGCCTTTACCTTTTCAACAAAGCCTGTAATGAATTGAAGTTCCTCAGCATCTGATCGATTTGCTTCAGCAAACCCCAATAATGCTTTTTTCACCAATAATTTTTTATCTGTTTCAAGTTTTACTTTTTGAATCTCAAACAATTGGTTCTATATCACCAACTTAAGAAAACAGGATTACTTACCCCTAGGATGTGTCTTGTTTGTATTACGAGGGTGGTCCCAGAAGTACCCGGCCTGACCTAGAGATGGTGGTAGTTGTTTAAAATATCATTGTATTAGAAAGTCCACAATCTATAAACCCGAGGGCGTCGCCAGCTTATGACTAAGGGGGGGCAATGGGGCAATATTATGGAGGATAAAAAATATGAACACCTGATAAAGTCGAAAGTATGAAGCGTTACATTTTGGAAGTCTTTGCCTCGATGACGATTATAATGAGAACGGTTTTGATATCAATGTATAAAACTTCACAAGCCCTCGACAGCACAATAACTAAATCAAACTTTTAAACACAGTAATAATTATTTATTTCAACAAAAATAATATTTAACAAAAACATAACCTGCGGAGATTTTTTGCGAAACTTTCAACCACTTTATCATTGAAATATTTAGGTTTTTATTTATTATAGCTGTGTCACTCATCATGGCCAGACCATTAAGGCGAACTTCTGCCATGGTGCTTCTTAGCCATGTTTTCAGGCTGCTAAAGGATCGCTCTACTGTACAGGTAGTGCATGGTAAAACGATCAATATTTTCAATGCTTTTTCCGTTTCGGTAAAGAAGGAATTTGTTTCTTTTAGGACATCAACAACTGTAAGATTTGTTAGATTAAGCCTATCGTGCCACAATTGCTGCCAAATAATTTCGATTTCATTCTTTATGTTCGAGAAATCATAAAACTGGGCAACAGATTCACAAGTTTGTTTCAGATTTTCAGTTGTCATCTTTTGTATCTGCGCCGGGTGTAACTTAGATAATGCGAATGATGCCGTGTTTTCTTCAGCAAAATGTACTTCAAGGGAGGTGATAATTGAATCCAAGTATGGTATAACTAAAGACCTCTTCCAGTATTCTGAAGGGCTTTCTGCCGCATGCAGTTGGAAGGCACTTTTCCGAGTTGCACTATTTCCTTCCTGAGGGAATGTTTGTAAGGCTTCCAGAATTATTGGAAGATTTTCTTTAAAAACTCTGATGGTTTTGTGTTTCTCACTCCATCTTGTCAAAGTCTGGAAATATCAGGTATCAACGTCCTCCTCAAAACTGATTCCCGTAAAAAGTTTATAGTATCTTCGGTGGTTCCCAAGGCATTTCTAATTTCAGGAAGTGAATTTAGATCATTGATAACTAGATTCAGTTTGTGGGACGAGCAATGAAAGTAGAGGGCTTTGATGTACTTTTTACGAAAGATCGCTTGTACCCCTCCTTCTTTTCCTGACATCGGTGAACAACTATTATAACCAACGCATTTTATATTCAGATCTTCTTTTGTCATAAATTCATCTATGCTATGCGCAATCGAATTCGCATCCAAATCTTTTAGCTCAATGAATCCGACAAACATTTCTTGGACTTCATGTGTTTCTTCATCGAAATATCGCATCCCAATCGATAGTTGTTCAGTGCCAGAAATATCAGCCGTTTCGTCTGCTAGCACACTTTTTTCATAATATCAGCTTTAATAACGCTTCCACAAATAGCAATAATTTCATTTTGAATATCCACTGAACGGTAATGCTCATTCTTTTTCCCTTCCTCAATGTGTTTCTTTAAAAACAAATCTCCCGCGTCAATTCGCAGCCTGTATAAATCCTCGAGAATACCTTCACCATAATGTTTACCTCTCAGTGCTAAGTCGTGTGACCCCCAAAACGTAATGCAGGAAATGATAGATTTTATAATTTTGCGATTTTCTTCAATAATTCCCTGGGAATATTTGTTCAGTTGCAAATCGACTGGCATACCTTCGAGAAAAGATTTAGCAGCTTTCAATGCCTCCTTATGGAAGTGCTTTTTGCTTTTTGCACTGATCGTGAATATCTTTGAACTCACAAAAGGGCCTTATAGTAAATTATCCCTATATGCCTTTTTGGAGCCTGGAATATACCGACCATGGAGAGTATGTTTCCAACCAAGAATAATTAAATTTTCTCTTTGAATGTTTTGCATCTTCCGCAAAGTTATAGGTCGCGGAATGGGACCCACAGTTTTCAATAAATTACTTCTTTTTTTCATGGTTCATTTAACTTCTAATTTATGCTTGTTCAATATCATCATCCATAATAATTACATTTTGAAATGATCAATTCGTGTGAAGTTTACTTCTCTTGAGTTTTCCCACTCTTCTTCAGAACGAGCGATATCGCCGCATTATAATAAAATGACAGCAATAGTCATTCCAGCTTGAATTCACCTGACGTTGAACAGGGTTCCTTCAACTCGAACCTGAAATGTTCAGCCTTTCAGAAAGAACCTAATCTATCGGACCAAGCCTTCGTGCCGGACTCCGTCCTGGTTGTGGCTGCGCGAAAAGCGTCATTACCGACAGTTTGAAATTTGCCAACGCCGCATCGAGATCGTGCGACTTTGAAATGCCTCACGACCTATGCGTGTCTCCACTAGTAGGGCTTCAAAGGCATCCCAATCCGTGAATGATCTCATGCGATAGTCCTGGGGAGAATCATCACCCAACATCAGGATAACTGATTATGATCCAAGTCCAATTCCGACAGTGTAGACTTCGCAGCACATGGAGACATGTGCTGCGAAGTCTACACTGTCGGGCAGTGCGATGTCAATCACGTCAGGTCGTCTGCGTTGCCCGTTGTACTACGTGAGCTCGCCTGGACCAATCACTCGATACGCATGCCTGGCAGGATGCGCATGGAGCGTTCTGCTGTTCACATTGGTGATTCTGCTATGTTTGGTGTTGAAGTCACCAGCAGCAATTGTGGGGATATTTGTCGACATCAGCAGTTCATCCAAAGATTCTAGTAGTAGACGATTCTGACGAGAGTTGTAGACCAAGATTAGTCTATGACAATCTCTCCTCAGTTGGAACTCAGCCTACGGCTGCCGTACCGTGTAGCTGATCAGAGTCAATGCCGAATTGTACGTGTGGAAGATTACGTTTGACAAAGATGCCAACTCCTCCTTCAGAACGTTCAACGCGTTCTCTGTGGTAGAAATAGTAGTTTGGAATCCCAAAACGTTCGTTGTGCAGGTGGGTTTCTTGCACAAGTGCGCAGGTGGGTTTTCTGCACAAGTACGACGTCGATGTTGTTATCGATCAAACAGTTTTCAAAATCCAACTTCTTGTTCAGAATCCTATTGGCATTCCAAAGTACAACATTAAGAGAGCTAGGCAATGTAGGTTGTCTAGCTATTAACAAGCTCTAGCTAGCACGTTGGTGTTTACCGTAAACATTTTTTCAAATACGGGAAACTGCGTGATTAGTTCCTTCATCTGGCTCATGGCGGAACAGATGTCACTTACCTTTGCTAGAGGAGGATTTCCAGGAGCTGCGGTTGGCTTGGCGGATATGTTGATTGGTACCGCTCTTAGCCGCCCCAGCAAAACTCATATCCGGGCGCGTGCCAGATTCGTCGGCAGGCCGCCTTCAAGGGGTGAATTACGGGTGGCATCTGCAGTTACTTTGGTTTTCCTGCAAACCTTGGAGGACTTAGGGCAACCGCGGTAATTCGCAGTCTGTACACATTTGCACTTAGGTGGTTCCATGCGGGGCTTCTTGCATGCACCTAAAATGTGTCTACTGTCTACATTGCCCTACCAATGTCTTCTGGCGTTGAGGTTCAGTAACGTCATATATATTCTTCTGATTTTGGTTCACTTGAACCAAAACCAAAGGAAGTGGTCGATTTCGCATCATCCTGGTGACGGATGATGGTTGAAAACCTTATTCCACTGGAGCATCCTCGATGTCAGAGGACTCTAGGTGTTCGGGAACTCCTCTGAAGACAGCTCTGATTTACCTGTCCTCAGGAAGGGTGTAGGTATGGTGGGGAATTTTGAATTGACCTATTTGCTCTTCTGGTGAACGAACATTGGGGGAACGTGTACATTTTCAGTGCTTGGTGGCACCTCAGGTCGCGCGGGGAGAGGGTAGTTAGCTCACTGTTCAGTTGGATTTCCAACCTGATTAACAAATTTGTGTCACCGGGTTTATGGGGCCACCCTATATAGTTGTATACAACTTTCCGGAGTTAGCTTCAGTTTCGTAGCTGTCGTCCATTTCGCAGAAAATTCAGTTGACGATAACTCGGACTCGGAGTAATTTCGAGCTTAGTCTCGAAGTTTCATAGATTTTTTGGCCGATTTTTCCGGCTTCGCGCCAGTTTTTCTAATTACCAGAGAGGCTGGTTTAGACGGAGGAGGTAGAGTAGGAAACTCTTCCGGAAGTGGAGTACAAGGAGACTCTCTAACTGCCGATCTGGGACTAACCTTCAGCAGCTCTGCTGGACTCGGTCAAGTCAAAGGCATACAATGCTAATTACTTTACCCCTGCCTCTGGCCATCACGCCGTCAAGCAGCTTCTTCATAGTGTTATCGTACTCTCACCCCCAGTGAATTCCCAAGGGCTGGCGGATGATTTGGTGAACAGTCTCGCAAGTAATCGTTCTAAACGTACTCACCAGAGGCCTGAGACGTGATTGCTCAGCACAACAGACGCACACACTATCACAGAGAGGGTTTACACTAGATCATGGTTGCACAGACTTATGAAGACTAGGGGCCACTCGGGCAAATCATGAACTGATGGCGGGCCGGCCGCCAGAAGTATAGTTAATTAAAGACAATAAGAATTGATAATAAATTATTAAAATTCAAAAAGAATTTATTAATTTGAAGCGTGGTACTGCATAGTGCTTACAATCTTTTTTATATTTGGCTCAAATTTACTTGTAGCAACACGTAAAACTGCTTCCAAACTTTCATTTGCAAGGCGGTTTCGATTTTTTGTTTCATTATTATTTAGTATTGAAAAAGTTTGTTCACATATATAGGTAGAACCAAATAAGCTGGCACATTTCAGAGCGTTTATGCGCAACTTTTCGTACATATTTTTATCAATGCAGCGGTAAAAGTTCAGCAAGTCTCCTTCGTTGAATTTTTTGCGTAAATCTTGATCGTTTTGAATGTCGATAATTTCTAACTGCATTGACTCTGGCGCATTTTCAACTGAAATCGTGAAAGGATTACTGAATATGTCCAACAGAGGTTTCACTTTTTTAAACTCCGAAAATCTGTCTTGAAAAGATTAATTCAAAATATCTAGCTTTTCTACATAACTGAAATTAATCGCAGTTTTGTTGAATTTTTCAGCCATTTTCTTATAATTCGGAAAATGAATGTAATTTCCAGAACTCAATTGTGATCTGAAAAGTGTCAGCTTGCATTGAAAGGATGATACATGAGCGTAGAGCTGAGATATCAGTTGATTTTTGCCTTGAAGCCGTGTGTTCAAGACATTCAAATGATTTGTAATGTCAACTAAAAAAGCCAAATCACACAACCAATCAGGATTTTTAAGTTCCGGGACATCCCTTTGCTTTTCCGCCAGAAATATTCCAATTTTTTCTATTAAATTTAGAAATCGTTCCAGTGTCAATCCACGGCTTAGCCACCTTACTTCTGTACAATACAGTAAATCTCCGTATTCGCTTTCGATGTCATCAAGGAATTGTTTGAATTGTCTGTGATTGAGTCCTCGTGATTTTATGAAATTTACAGTCGAAACTACCACTTTCATGACATTTTGAAATTCAATTTTTTTAGAACAGAGAGTTTCTTCGTGTATAATGCAGTGAAACTGCATGAGATCTTCAGCGTTTATGTTTTTTCCTTGCAGATGCTTTTTCAACAAAATAACTAGCCCGGAATTGCCACCAATCATCGAAGGAGCACCGTCAGTCGCAACTTCCGATAATTTTGATAAGTCCAAATCAGTTTTTGAACACTCATCCAAAAGTACATTGAGTATATCAACTCCTTTGGTTTGACCTTTCAATGAACACATTCCGAATAACTCTTCTAAGACTTTAAAATCTTGAGTAACACCTCGTATGAATATGAGAAGTTGAGTTGTGGCACTAATATCAGTGGATTCGTCGAGCGCTAATGAAAAACATTCAATGATCTTAGTTTTTTCAATTAATTGTTCCGCAATATTACCTAACAAAGACATAATTCGTCTTTGGATAGTCATACGATTCAGTTGAATTTTCTCAAACTTTTTTGCTGCTTCTGGACACATTTTCTTAGCGGCAATTTCTATGCATTCTTTTACAAAATCGCCATCATTGAAGGGGCGACTTCGCTTTGCTATCATTCGAGAAATTTCATAACTAACTTCTCTAGCTGTTTCTGAATCTTGAATGGGTTTTGTAAACATAGCTTGCTGACCAATAAGCTCCCGTTTCAAAGACAACATTTTTTGCTTTCTTATTTCGCCTGTAAACTTGGTAAAAGAAGGATGCTGCGTTTCATAGTACCTTTTTACATTATATTCCTTTGCAATCGCAACAGAATTCTTGCAAATTAAACAAACGACTTTGTTACGCGACCATACAAAAAAGTATTTCTCAGTCCAAATCTCTTGAAACTGCCGATTTTCATTAACCTTACGTTTTTTACTAGGTCCTGGCTTCTCCATGTTGCGTTCTAATCCTGGATAGAATTAACACAACACCTAAAAACAATTACAGTATCTACTTAAATTACCCATTCTTTTTTAAATTATCAAAAATAATTGAATAAATTCCTCAGAAATTTTAAGAGTTAGAGAAATTCTGATAAAAATAGTAATTTCTTTGTTTTATTTTAATATTTGACCAACATTAAAGCTAAATTTGATTAAAATTGATTAAACAGGTAGGGAAACACTTATTAATAACAGAGTTTTACTTATGATTTCACAACACAATTATACACGGCACTTGACGGGTTAACAGGAAATATACGTTGAATGTGGATCAAAATATATGACACCGGCTAGTCGAGTTAAAATCTACACTAGAAGTATCGCCTCCCCAAAACACTATTAAACTGCACTTATTCTCAATCACTTATTACTTCGCTTTGTAATTTCGCGAAAAGAAATTTCTGTTGACATTTCACTCAAATTAAAACCGAACTGTCGGTCGCTGCGGTTAGCGTGGCTTTTATACCGCGTATGCTACTCTGGAAGCTTCGTGTATCTACTCGTACCTACGCGAGCAATCCGGAATTCGGGACTATTGCTATCTCGCTTGCTCACACCGCGCTAGAAAATTCTTGATTTCTCTACTTCTATTATTTTGAACTTTATATAAAGGCGGCAAGCGATGTTACTTGACTTAGCATTTTTGGGCGCTAGATTCAAATAGCGCGCGCGCGAGATTCAAATTACTTTTCGAACATATTTTTTTTGATTTTATTCTGGAATAGATCATCCACCGTTTTTGTGGAAAAACTCAGAAAAATGCACAAAAAGCGACCTTGTTTACTGGTTGCTAGGGACGCTTTTTATGGTTATGGTGTGTAATAAAATGACATTGCGCCTGAAGTGAAATAGCTGGGATGACAAATCACAGATGTGCTTGCTTGGAAAGAAGTAATTTTGGACGAATTGATCAAAACCGAGGAGTTCTTTCATGGCGAACAGATATATGACTGAATAAATAATACCGAATATAAACAAATGGTAAACAAATAAATTGTAGAGGGGAAAATGTTTCTAGTTATATAAATTTACATAGACTACATACATTTCTAAATCAAAGAATAATGAATCCTTTGTAGGTATAACTTTTTTGATCATCTTCGTTTAATCAATTATCCTTAGCAACCCTCGTTATTTGGTTGCCCTACCGACATAGTGCCAAATATTTATTGTGTCAAAATAGTTTTTCACAAAATGGAAAAACTAGATGAACTGGGAAAACAAGACGAAGAATTCAACAACTTTATGTTGAGAGTGAACGAGGTGGGAAGTATAGTAAAAAAGCTGGCCTCAAAAGATGAGAGATTGCAAGAAATCGGAAATTTAGAAGCGAAAAAATATCTCGGAGAAACCAGTGAAAAAATAATCGAGAATATTAACTCTGAGAAGATTGTTCTGAAGATAAGAAATAATAGAACCCTAATTAATAAGAAAAGTTGTGAGAAAAATGATACTGAAATATCTCAAGGTGATTTGAAAATAATTTAATTTTCAATTACTGGCGACTGAATTGCTGGTTATTGTAGAAGATAAATCCCTTCCAGTTGATTCATCACATTCTCTTTGGACAATTGTATAATTTTCATTTTACTGTGGAGTTCTTATTGAAACTTTTCTATTCCTCTATTTAGTGAGTATACAATGCTATTTCAAAGTTTATATTGAACAAATTTTTACTGTAGCAGGGCATATAACTTAAAAACTATCATACATACAAAATGTAACATTACCTTGTGAATCAATGATTGCATTAGAAATGTCTCGAACATTATTATAAACTGACTTTGATAGATAGCTTTAATCTTTTGAAAAATGAATTGAAACGTTCATATACTTTCAATCCTGTTTTCGTGCGAATAAAAGCTATATATTGTTATAGTGAAATGTTACATATGTTTGTGATCTCGCATGGGTAACTTTTTCCGTGTAATTTTCAGGAATAAGTTTTGAAAAATATATTGGTTGGTGATTTAAATAAAATTACGCCATCTCCAAAAAATCATTTGGAATTGATAAATCATTACAAAATGATATAATGTGATCAGGAAACTAATTGGGACGATTTCAAAAATCATTTAGTGAGTGTAGAATTTTTTTTCTGTACCATAAATGAGGTCAGACAAAAAATTTAGGATTATTTTATTAAAAACAAATTGCAGATTACTAAGAACAATTGTCAGATTACCAAATAAAATGATTTTTTGTAATGCGTTGTGTGAAAATAGAAACAGCAGCTCATTTTTTAGGAAAAAATATCACTTTCGCTTAAGAATATGGAATGGATTCAGGTTTAGTGAAATTTTATTTTGCCCGGTCTTCGAACACAGTAGGTACATATTTCCAAATCATTTATCAATATCGTTTGCAGACATGACTTTTCTATTTTTCTCATTTGAGTACCATATGAATTGATAATTAAATAACTGAAGCAACGAATTATTTTAAATGTATCTCGATGACCTTTTTTCAAATTCGTCTTTAGAATTCAACTTGAAAGGGTTATATTTTTAGGGGAGACATTCATTTTTGGAAAAGAATGATTTTGGCTTACAAGTTCTCTATCCTAATGTAAATAAACACAATTGCGACTAGAAATGTCTTATGTAGTTATTTTTCAAAGACATTCACCAAATTGCAATCGCAATTAATTCAAAAAGAATGGTTAGGTGCATCTCTCTGGCGACATTAACTTGTGTATTACTAACACTGCATTCTCACTAATAATACATATATAATAATGTCTTAAAAAATTCACTTTCAAATGTGAAAATATAAAATAATCGTTTCATTAGTATTATTTCAGAAAAAGTGTCTCAAAAGTTCCTTTGGTTGTTTTCTAGGGAAGCAATAGCATTCTCATATTTCCTTGCATCTTCTTGGTCCAAGTTTCCAGAAATTGCTTTGATCACACTTCTTCGTCTCTGGTTTTTATATGGTGTTTGACCTGATTGGTGAATGTGAGTGAGGAATCTGGATGGTGAAAAATATCAGCATATCTTCCGCATAATTTTCTGATATGCATCTCCTCTTCTGGATTCAGGTGGTCTGTTCTGATTAGATCATCCATGTTGTTGATTGGGTCTCTGTTTCCTGATGGGACTATGTCAGCAGAATAGATATGATGCTCTTGGAGATTTATTGGGCTGCTGCGTACTGGTTCGGCTAGAACGATTTGGAGTTTATCTGGACTGAAGTTGACAATTTCCGTTCAGGCTAGATGATCACGGGCATCAGTGAGCTTCACGGATGTAAGCGCTTTGCAGTTCCTGTCTTGGTATCATAATAATTCCATTCTTTTCCATCACCGAGTCGTACTTGGGTCACGCTGTCTGGCTCCAATTGAATACAGTAGAACTGGGTCTTATTGGTTTCGTAGTACTGGATTGGGAGAGAGGAGTATTCGTTTAAAAGGGAGGATTCAGGAAAATTCAGTTCAGCTTTGAGAAATTTCAGGTTGTCGAGTCCAATGAGGCCATCAAAAGTTTTGTGGAATTTGAAGAGGTAGAATTTCAGAATGCCTTTTGAGTTAAACTCAGGAAATATGGGAATTTCTGCACTGTAATCTTGAAGTAATCTGGAAGTGACGATAAAAGGATCTTTTTTGATGCAATCTTTGTAATATTGGAAAGATAATTCAGGATTGAGAAAGGATTTTGTTGATCCGGTGTCAATGAGGAGTTTGAGGGGAGGATTTGCAATGGTTATATAAGGAAGTTCTCTCTTATCGTTGAATGTATGCAGTTCCACTATATTTTTTGGTTTTGTCCTGGATCCAATGGAAAATTTACATCTGGTTCCTGTTGGTCTTCTTGAACCTGGAATTCTTCAGTTGGTTCTTGATTGGGATAAGAGCAGGTTTCTTCAATGTAATAGGGGTTTGCTTCATATCCAAAGTCTTCTTCATGTTGCTCAATGTTGAACATGGGAGCTGGATTGAAATTTGGTCTTGCCTGAGGTTGGGTTCTCATGCTCCTCGTTGGTGCTCCATAAGTATTTCTGGTACTGATGCTCATTGGTGTTGGCTCTTGTCCGTTCTGCCTGTTTGGTTGATTCTGTCCAAAACGTTGTGGTTGGACTGAAGGCAACATCTGTCTCTGTTGAGTATTTGGTTGCCAATGTGGTCTGAAGGTCGGTTGTTGAAATTGTGGTTGGAGTCCCATTGCCTGATGAGGTTGTTGTTGGAAAAAGCTTTTCTTGCTGATCTTTATCGTATCATCGGCGGTGTGTAATTTGATATAGTTTGATATTGTGTTCAAAAGTCCCATGACTTTTTCGTAAAAACGTTGTGGTGTTTCGTTCTGGTCTTGTCTCAGGTTTACCAAATCTCTTGTTAAGGAATTTTTATTCCGTTGGTCGGCGAAGTTTTGGATTAGAGTTCCTTTGAAGCTGTTCCACTCACTACATCCATAAACTGAGATGACGTCTTTGGCTCTGCCTCGTAGCTTGTTGAGTAGTCCTTGTATCAATATATGGTTCTGAAAACAACCGGGGTCTTCAGTATTCCAATATTCGTTCAGAATCATTGTTGATACGTTGATGATCTGGTATAATTCATTTGGGCTTCCATCGTATTCGGGTACAATCCAAAAATTCTTCAGGTCGATTTGTTTTGCCATGTTGATGGGATTTAAAGGTTGGTCAATTGTTTGAGGAATAATGGATGGGCGAGAATTGGTATTTGAAGGTGAATTTGGTAAAACCAAGGTAGGGGGACGTAAAATAGTATTTGCAATTGATGAAGTTGAGTTCATTTATGTTTACAGGATGACGATGATGGCTCGTTGCATATTCTGTCACCAAAAACTTATTTCTATGTAGATATTCCTTGACGGACGATAGTGAAGAGGTATTCTTGTCTACGGCCGGAATTCTTCCTGGAGTACTTGCTTCTCGGTGGAACTTGGTTCGGGAGAATAGTGGATAAACGTTTGAGAACGACGAGGATCTTCTAAGGACTCTTCCACTATCCTAATGACTGCGCCAATTATATTTCTCGTTCACACAAAAAGGTTTTTAAAAACTTTTTATTTGAACAGAGTAACAACTAATAACTATGAAATATAAGTACTGGATATTACAAATCAATTGCACCTATTTATATATAAATTATTGCCGACTTTGCAGATATCAGCAAAATAATTGATGTCGTCTTCGGGTCATCGAACAATATCCTGCTGATGTAAGGGGTTATCGAACTGGAACTCGCTTGTAGTAACCTTTAACGCCAACCACTGTTCTGGACGGATCGATGGCTAGACTGGTTTCGTCTAGATTCCAGATTTGTTTTGGACATTCAACTAACTGGAGGTCGGTTAAAGTTTTCTGCAAGAGTTTGAAATAGTTGTCTATTACGAATGGATCAGTCATTTTTTTTCTCGAGTATTCAATGGACTGAGGGTTTTTGATTGACAAGTTATGCCTCTTCTCGAAATTTAAAAACCAATCAGCGGCAGGAGTATTATTTTTGAATGACGTCTTCAGATTGTTTTTCGTAACATATTCAGACACCACAAGCAAAACTTCCTTTCTACACAGTCCAAATCCCCATTTTTCAAGGGTCTTTAGACGACCTGCCAAAATATTTTCGTGATAGATTGGAATAACAGTTGCTTTTCCAAGTGACTGGCTTTTCTATCCATAGGTGCTTTTTAGATGGTCGTGTAATGTAGACTTAGGGATATTATACTGAGTTGCAGCTGCATGCAGTGTTAGTCGACCACTTTGTATATTCTCCAATGCAGTACTTATATTCTTTTTGGTGTACTTTGTAGCTCTGGCGGTTTTCCTTTGGTAATTACGAACCATGATATAAGATATCTGGAAGGTAAATGACAATTCAGTGCGCCTAAAAACATAAGGGAAAGATTAGATAGCTATTATTCGGTCTTACCCCTATGCAAAGAAATTGGGGTAAGATCGAACGTAGCGACAAAATTAGATTATTTAAGGTTAGTGTTCGTTGGCTACTCTTAAAATACTATTGCTGACAGATTTAAACTAGATTTTGTGGGTTACTATGGATATGAACGTGTGCTCACCTGTTATACTAATGCGGGGAAGATCGGATATTCTGATTCGTCACTGAAAACTGAAAACAACGTCAATAAATGATCGGACACGGCGGCGCGAACTTGTCGTCACAACAACACGTGCTCGAGTGGATGGCCTTGAAGACTGCCAGACAACATTGCCGCAACATTGCCACATACGGACGTTGCACTGCTCGTTAGATGTTACCCCGCATTCGATCTTACCCCAACTCACCTTATCTGTAAGTCTTGGGTTATGTTTCGGTCTCAACAATTTCAAGTATCGTTCTCCACGGCGTATTGAGAAATATTAGCCTTTTTTGGTCCCCGAAATCGGATATACGTTGTATGTTTTCCAAAAATAGTTTTAATAGCCCCTTTAGTCCAACTATTACACTTTTGCTGAACTCTGTTTATCATCTTTATTTATGAGTACCTAACATTTGTTGAAATTACCAAGTAATTTTGAGAGTTACTCTCACGATCAGTTTATTAAAAATTCGATTCAACCATCTTTGTTCATCTGGAAAAACAATCAACTTTGACTCATTGTATTTTGAAAAGTTGAGAATTGACGAAAACAGTTCTTACATCTTAGTCTGGTTTTCAGAAACTTTCATGGACGAGGTATCACAAGATGCTGAAAGAAGATATAAAAATAAATTGGTCAGAACAGAAAAAATGGAGACTTTCAAAAAGCAAGCTACTCTTGCTTTCAGGAGAGGTGAATTCGAAAAGGCCCTCACCTTGTATAATAAGGTGAAACTCCATTCCAATGCTTTCCACTAGTGCTGATATAATTTATATTTTTAGGCTATAGAACAAATCAAGGATAGCTGCCTTTTATACAACAACAGAGCGCTAACTTATATGAACCTTAAACTTTATGAAAAATCAAGAGATGATTTGAAGTGGGCATTACGCATCAACGAAAATTGTTTGAAATCGTTGTTACTTTTGGCTAAAATCAATTTCTTAGAAAATAAAATGGATGAGTTTGATAAGATTCTTAAAGAAGCTTTAGAAAGGAATCCCCAGAACGAGAAGTTCATCAAAGTTGAGTATAAAGTAGCAGAAAATTATTTCAGCATAACGCATTTCATTTATTTCATGATTTATTTCTCATAACTTCGTCTATTCGTCTGAATTCATCCATCAAATTGCTCTCCTACAAGTAACCCTCAGAGGTATTCGTGAGATATGTATGATATAGACTTTTCATTGATAATGTGTCACTACTTGGTATTTACTCAAATTTCCATACTTTTTCTTCAGTACATATAAAATATATTATTACATATTAATATACTAATCGTGGTGTTTTTACTAAATTTTCAAAGTGATGAACAGGGCTGTTAACATTGAAAAACTAAAGATGAATTTATGACACAAGTAGGAGATTTGAGCCGGTTCTAAGCCTCCCCCCACCACTATGACGTATTAATTGCTTTTTTTTGTTTTTGAGTAACATTAAGGCGATGTGACCTTGAAGTATCTAGTGCATGGATCATTCAGAATTTTTTTCCATATGAGATTGTGTGTGTGTGTGACATAATGAAGTAATTACATTTGGTTGGTGTGTGTGTGTGTGAGAGAGAGAATGCACGGTACACAGTTTCATCATGTGCTTGTCTATGTACAAACATACGTCTGCATACTTCAAAGATCCTCCAAGTAATGAATGTTCCATCGGTGTGAGCACCAAGTTAGTTGTGGTGTGACGTCACAGCAGCAACCGTTCAACGGTAGGAGAGCGAGATGTTCACTCCACGACGTGTGGCTGAGTAATGCGTATTCATCGATGTGCCCTTACCTCCCTCGATGTGGCGTTGTCTATGACGTAACGCATGGCTCTACCCTCGCTCTCGATGGTGACGCGCAGGCGGCGAGGACTGTGGTATTCAAGAAGCGGACGAGTGTTTGTTGTGTCAGTTTACATCGAGTGAGTTAGTGAGAACATATCATAGAAAATGTATTCTTGTCCACTGTGGTAAATCTTTTACTCATAGTGATAACCTTCGTCGTCATCAGCTCCAGGGTTGGCAAGGAGGTCCATCAGTGAAATGAGTGAGATTAGATGACGCTGCAACACTTACGTACACACGTAATTGTTGTAATGTGATGATTCCATTGACTCAAGTGAATTCTCACGATAGAAGTCTGCAACATAAGAATAATGCATGTGTACAATTGAGTGATGGTGTTCAAATTATAAAGAGTGCCTTCCAGCGTCGGATTGCTACATACAGGGTGTTTCCACCGATTATATGTTATTCTTTAATGAAATCAGGCAGAAAGTTATTGAATTATTGGAATCATCCATCAGGGTTCACAAAATTATCGAAGTGAATATGGAAGTATTTGAGAGTTATATTCTGCAAACGCAAGACCTAAAGGAAACCAAATAATTTAACTTTCAGAATAGAACAGCTGACCAATCTACTAATTTGAATTCCTTATTTGATGGATTTCGGAATGGAATTATCGCTCAAACTACAGAACAGAATCAGAACATGATTCAGGTAAGCATTTCTACCAAGTTTCAATTGGATGTATCAGTAATTTCGATTTGTATTTAAGGTTGAAAAAATCATGTTTCTGGAGGTGAACATCAATAAATACAGCCCGCTCAGTGGATGTTCATATGTGAAGCTACCTGAATGTATCGAGCGTAGGAAGGCCGTGGTTATTGTTCGTAATGCAGATCAGCATTGTTTTGCATGGGCTATCACTTCAGCACTACATCCTACAATCGATAGAACGTCAGAAGTTTCAGCATATCCACATTTCAATACTGTCATAGATGTACAGGTATGAATTTTCCGGTAAATTTGAAGGATCTTGTGAAATTTGAGGACAAGAATGATATTTCAGTTAATGTGTACAGTTCAGAAAGTAAATTCGAGAAGGGTAAAATAATGTATGAAATAATTGGACCATTACGTTACTCTCAGAGAAGACTTGGGAGTCAATTTGTTACTTATCACAGATGATTTCGGTAATAGTCATTATTGTTGGATCAAAGATCTTTAAGATTAGTTTCAAGTCAACTATCGGCCCATGAACATAAGAAATATTTTTGTGATGGATGTTTTTTATATTTTTCTGATGAGCAATTACTATTACGTCATGAGATAAATGATTGTGATCACTTGAGTACTACAACACCATCAACCAATTTCAAAGTCAATGAATATGGGAAAATGGTGCCTGAAAATATACTAACGTATGTAAACTTTGAGAAACAAATGAAGGTACCATTTGTAGTTTATGCCGATTTTGAATCAGTACTCAAGCCGATTCAAACCTCTAAGCCAAATCCTGAATACTAGTACTCGATCAAGACATTCAAACATGAGCCTTATTCATTTGCTTATCTGATTAAATGTTCATACAATGATTATTTGCCAAAATTTGTATCGTATAGGGGTGTGGATGTAGCCCAGAAACTTGTCAGCAAAATTGAAGATGATTTGAAAAATATTTATGAAAATAATCTCAGGTTCCCTATCCTATGAAGGCACAAACTACTGAGGAAGAGAAACAGTTTGCTTCTGCTACAAATTGTGGCATTTGTTCTAAACAATTCAATGATGGCGAAGTTAAAGTGAGGGGTCATTGTCATCTCACAGGAAAAAAAAGGTCCCCTGCTATATCTGTTGATAAATATAAATTGGATCCGGCACAATACTTCACCGCACCCGGATCATCGTGGGATGCCATATTGAAATATACTAATATTGAATTGGAATTACCAACTGACATTGATATGGTTCACTTCTCTCAGAAAGGTATTCGTGGTGGAATCAGTCAATGTAGTGAAAGGAAACATAAAGCAAACAATACATTTTTACCGAATTATAATCCAAATGAACCATCTTCATTCATTTCATATTTGGATGCAACAAATCTATATGGTCACAGCATGTCACAACCATTACCAACAGGTGAATTTTCATGGTTAACACCTCATGAAATTCTCAATCTTGATATAATGAATGTGGATGTTGATAGTCCTTATGGATATGTAATGGAAGTAGATATACATTATCCCCAAGAACTTCACGATAAACATTCCGATTTCCCATTCTCAGTTGAACGTTTGATACCTTAATATGCAAAATCGAAAGTTCCCAAATTGATTCCAAATTTAAACGATGAAAGAAAATATATTGTTCACTATAGAAACTTACAGCAAGCTGTCGATCATGGTTTGATAGTGATGAACACACATAGAGTATTGAGGTTCAAGCAATCATATTGGATGAAGCCCTATATAGATTTGAATACTGAAATACGTAATCGGCCTAATAAAAAATCTGAAAAAGATATCTATAAACTAATGAATAATGCAGTCTATGGAAAAACAATGGAAAACGTAGACAATAGAATTGATGTTAGACTCATTACACATTGGGAAAATATAAAAAGAACTATAGGTGCTAGTTGTCTCATATCGCGACCAAATTTAAAAAAATGTTCCTTTTTCACAGAAAATTTTGTTGCCATTCAATTAGCTAGAGTAAAAGTTCATTATGATAAACCACTGTATTTGAGATTTTCCATTCTGGAATTATCCAAAACAGTTATGTATGATTTTTTCTATGGATGTATCAAACAACAGTTTGGAGAAGATGCGTCCTTACTCTACACTGATACCGACTCCCTTATTCTCAAAGTAAATGCAGACAATTTCTATGATTTTTATCATAAATAATATAAATGAGTTCGATACATCTAATTATAAAATAGAAAATCAATTCAATATTCCAGTGACAAAAACAGTTCTGGGTAATTTCAAGGAGGAATTCCCAATTGATCCAATAATCAGCTTTCACGGTACAGGTGCTAAAGCGTATTATGTGAAATCTGTTGGTGGTGAACTGAAGAAGGCCAAATGCGTCAAACGATCTGTTATAAGGAATGAATTGACATGTGAAGACTATGAAAAAATCATCGAAGAGGGAGGTATGATATTCAGGAAGATGAACTCATTCAGAAGCGTATTGCATGATATTTACACTGAATTGAAAAATAAAGTCGCATTATCATATCACGACGACAAAAGATTCATCATTCCGAATACCACTCGTTCTCTTCCATGTGGTCATAGCGATATAGAGTTTTATCGAAATGATCCTAATGACAACATTCGTTGGGTGTCTGAAATCGTTCATTCTTTTTCTCAAGAGAGCGCCTTAGACCAACTAATTAATTTGTTGACTGTTGAGATGAATAATTGAATTATCAGTCGAAGTGTTGTTGCTTTTTCCTTCAAACCAGAACATTCATTATTTGTGATTATTTCATTGTGATTTTTTTACATTGAAGTATTACTTTTACCAAGTTACTTAGATGAATAAAAAATGATAAAAATATTATTTGTTTCATTTCTATTTTCCTAACCAATTACTGTAAAGTATATAGCATAATGTAAATGAAAAAAATATCTGTTTTAAAAGAATCATCGTAGAGTGCACAATGTCTAAAACAATCGATAAGTTTGGTAGAAAAAGAAAATGGGGTGGTAATGTCATTCGAGGTCCTCTCGGGAATGGATTTAAATTAACAAAGGATGATCATTATGACATGCAAAGAAAAATATTGAAAAATATAAACGAACCAATTGACAAGAGTGATTGTGTAACTGTTTCATTTCTTGAGGGGGAAATTAATGGAACAAGCTGCAATACAATCCACAATTGGTAATGTTGCTCGCGATGCACGTCATGCATTCGACGATAAAATTGCAGAAGCTCGGATAACTTTGGCTCGTAAATATGATAATCTTAAAAGTGATGTAGAAATGAAAATGTCTGACATAACAACGTCTACAATGAAAAAGTATGACGCTTTGGAACAGAGAGTTGTAGTTTTGGAGAAAAAACATAAACTCAAGTCATCAGGTGGACTTGGGTATCCAGGACTGGACATTAATCCAAATGTTAGAATAATAGAACCAAAACCAACAGATGATGTATTAATTGAACGAACATGGCAAATCTACTCCCGCGTTAGGTTAGGTTAGGTTAGGTTAGGTTCATACATACGTTAGGTTAGGTTAGGTTCATACATACGTTAGGTTAGGTTCATACATACGTTAGGTTAGGTTCATGAGGTGGACTGGGGTAGCCCTGATAGGTTAGGTTAGGACAGGACTGGACATTATTCTAAATGTTTGAATGATAGAACCAAAACCAACAGATGACGTATTAATTGAACGAACTTGGTGAATGTTGACGCATATTCTGCGAAGCGTGCGGATGCG